TTTTTTTTTTAAGTGCTGGGGTACATGTGCAGGATGTGCAGGTTTGTTACATAGGTGAACATGTGCCATGGTGGTTTGCTGCACCTGTCAACCCATCACCTAGGTATTAAGCCCAGCACGCATTAGGTATTCTTCCTGATGCTGTCCTCCCCCCGCCCCTCCCACAGGCCCCAGTGTGGTGTTCCCCTCCCTGTGCCTGTGTTCTCACTGCATAGCAGGTGCTTCTGCACCTGGCCCCCCAGGGTCACTGGGGTCAGATAAGAAAAGGCTGTCAGAGGTAAGCAACTGGAGTACCGGATTGTCTTGTCTCTAGAAGACCACACTTAGAGAAATGCTGCTTTTAGAAGGGCTTCTCAGCCTCTGCACTAGTGACATTTTGGGCCAGTTAGATCTTGGTTGTGGAGGCAGCCCTGTACTAGTCTGCGGCGTTTAGCAGTATTCCTGGCCTCTCCCCACCAGATGTGCTACTGAACACCCCCCTCCCCAAGTCACGGCAATCAAACTGGCGCGGCCTCAGGTGGGCAGAACCGCCTCCACCTGAGAACTTCCCAACAGCGCTCCCCACCTTACCCCCAAACACAGAGGTTTCAGGTAACAGAGCTATTCGAGTATTCCAAAGCTAAGTGAATCAGAACCAGAACTCCAAGGCTCAGTCCACCAGACTAGCTCACAGTTTTACGTGTGTGTGAATAGTAGAACATTTTCATGATCTCTGGTAAGAGAAAGCGGAGTCCCTCAGGGAAGCAGATGCCTTCTGTGGGCTCCCTGCTTCCTGGGCAGTAAGGGGGCCAGAGGCCCCTTACTTGCATGTGTAGGGAGAGGTCTTCTGGGGCCATAGCCTGACTCTGTGTGACCCAGGCAGTACTCACTTGGTGACGGTCACAGTGATGTCTGCTGTCCTGTTTGGAAAGGCATTCTCCTCTAGCTGCCAAACTACCGAAAAATGAGCCTATTTTAAAGGGGAAAAAATGGTCACTTGATTCTTCTGTAAACCACTCACAATTCAGACTGCTCGCTCCCAATGGAGCAGACCTGGGAAATGATTCCTCCCATTCTCACATTCCTCACAGTTTGCAGCACCGCATGTCTCCACGGCTAGTATTTCATTTAAGCCTCAAGTAAAATACAAATATGGAGGGCAGGCAGCTCATCCCCTTTTACAGCTGAAGAAGCCACTTCAGAGATTCCCACAGCACAGAGATGACCAGTGACAGCTCAGGGTTAATAACTTTTGGTTTTGGCTGGGCGCAGTGCTTCACGCCTATAATCCCAGTTCTTTGGGAGGTGGAGCCTGGCAGATCACTTGAGGTCAGGAGTTCGGGACCAGCCTGGCCAACATGGTGAAACCCCATCTCTACCAAAAATATTCTAAAAATTAGTCAGGTGTAGTAGCGCACGTCTGTAATACCATCACTTTGGGAGGCCAAGGCAGGTGGATCGCCTGCAGTTGGGAATTCGAGACCAGCCTGGGCAACACGGTGAAATCCCCATCTCTACTAAAAATATTTGAAAAATTAGCCGGGTGTAGTGGCACACACCTGTAATCTCAGCTACTCGGGAGGCTGAGGCAGGAGAATCACTAGAACCTGGGAGGCGGAGGTTGCAGTGAGCCAAGATTGCGCCACCACACTCCAGCCTGGGTGACAGAGCAAGACTCTGTCTCAAAAACAAACAAAAAACTTTTGGTCTGATGCGCCCTCCGTACCAGCCACAACTTCACTCGACCTCACTGAGATGCGACAGCAGCTCATCCAGGGCTGTCTACTGGAAACTCTGATCCCTACCACTCCCTGCTCTCAGAGCCAGCTTAGCCGCGGTAGGCACTGCTGAGGCCTGACTCCACAGTCAAGGGAAGCCTAAAGCTGCAACCAGGAGATTCAGATGAGCCTGAGACGCAGAAGATGCCCAGGGCAGCAAGAAGAGCAAATGGATCCAAACCGACTCACAGACGACCTCTTGAGGACGGGATGACCAATCTTGCAGCTCATGACCAGGACAGAAGCAACCGGCTGAGGGTGATCACACTGAACGTCTGGAGAGGGAGGCTATTGACAGAGCAGATGACATTCACTTAAAGAACCCCCACCCCCACCAAAAAAAAAAAAAAAAAAAAGCAGTTGCCACACATCAATTCAGCAAACATTCACTCATATTTCTGCCTGCCAGACACCCTGCCAGGAGCTGAGGATATCAAGTCTGCTTGTTCCATGTCTTCCTCGCGAGCTGGGCAGGCCGGCTCAGCAGTAGATCCTGGAGGAATTTAAATAAAGCCTCGGGTGCTTCTATGAGGGAGGTGCAGGAAACAGCAGCGGAGGAAGACCAGTTCCAGCTAGGAGGAATTTGTAAGGTCTTCCTGGGGAAGGAGACCTTGGAGCTGAGCCTCGGACTGATGCAGACATAACCCACAGCCTGGCTAGGAGGCAGGCACGCAGCAAGAACTGCCCATCCAGACCCCTGAGGGCAGGTGATGACTGCAGTGACTTCTCCATTCTCCCAAGGATGACCAGCCTAGTTCCCTTCTTGATGCCTAGAAGATTCCTTTCCTCCTTCCCCTTTCCCCTTTTCCTCTGCTCTCCTCTTTCCTTTTCTTTAGATGGAGTTTCGCTGTTTCACCCAGGCTGGAGTGAAGTGGCATAATCTCAGCTCACTACAACTTTCGCCCCGCCAGGTTCAAGAGATTCCCCTGCCTCAGTTTCCCGAGTAGCTGGGATTATAGGCACCAGCCACCACACCTGGCTAATTTTAGTAGAGACAGGGTTTCGCCACATTGGCCAGGCTGGTCTCAAACTCCTCCCACAGTGCTTGGATTACAGGCATATGCCACGGTGCCCGGCCTAGGAGATTATTTCATTCACATAATGGATACTGTCCAAGCCCAAATAGCCTAAGATGACGGTGGACAAACCTACAGTCCAACAATGTCAGGTTTGTTGACTCACTGCTATGAAGAAAACTACACTTTTTTTGTGTGTGTGAGACAGTCTTGCTCTGTGGCCCAGGCTGGAGTGCAGTGGCACGATTTCGGCTCACTGGAGCGTCTACCTCCTGGGTTCAAGCAATTCTCCTGCCTCAGCCTCCCTCGTAGGTGGGATTACAGGTTCCCGCCACCACACCTGGCTAATTTTTGTATTTTTAGTAGAGACAAAGTTTCATCATGTTGGCCAGGCTGGTCTGGAATGCCTGACCTCAGGTGATCTGCCCACCTCAGCCTCCCAAAGTGCTGGGATTTCAGGTGTGAGCCACTGCACCCAGCTGAAAACGACACTGTTGTGTGTCTCAGCAAAGGGAAAGACAGTTATTAAAGGACTCTAGGGAAGCGTGGAGTTCAGATGAAATGTAAATAAAGTTATGTTTTGGGCCAAGTGGGGTGGCTCACGCCTGTGATCCCAACACTTTGGGAGGCCAAGGTGGGTGGATCACCTGAGGTCAGGAGTTCGAGACCAGCCTGGCTAACATGGCGAAACCCCGTCTCTAGTACAAATACAAAAAATTAACCAGGTGTGGTGGTGGACTCCTGCAATCTCAGCTACTCAGGAGGCTGAGGCAGCCTCCACTTCCTGGGTTCAAGACCATCCTGGCCAACATAGTGAAACCTCATCTCTACTAAAAATATAAAAATTAGCTGGGTGTGGTGATGCACACCTGCAGTCTCAGCATTGCTGTAAGAGCCTTTATTTCAGTGCTAAATTTCTTTGCGGCACGGAACATCTATTTCCAACACAGTCTAAGCTCATTTTTACTTTCTCAATGTCTTGGGGCATTTCAGCCCACGTATCGCTCAGAAGCCTGGTGAAGAAAGGCTGCACATAGGGAGGGGGACCGTGCAGCAAATGGTGCCACAGAAGGTTTTGAAGGCAGAGAATGGCGCCAAGCACATAGCCAGACTGGCGGGAGTTTATCTAGTGATTAACCATTGGTTGGATGGACCAGGAGGAGGCTGGCGGCAGGGTCGCCAGTGAGGGGCTTCCACGGAAAAGCAGGCATGCAGCCAGGGAGGGGCGTGAGGGACCTGTTTCCACACACTCACCTTTTGCATCCTCTTAAACTGCAGGTTCCTGGGATAATTCAAGGCCATGCTTGTCATGTAGGAATCTTCCCCAGAGTTAGTTAGGGTAACGTTCAGGGTCACCTCCTTTGTGAGACCCACCACCAATTTCTGCCTGCAACATGACAGATAAAAATGTTACAGTATATTTAATCTGTAAAAACGTTGATGCAATAGAATAGCACCTTTTTTTTTTTTTGACAGAGTCAGTCTGTCGCCTAGGCTGGAGTATGGGTGCAGTGGCACAACGATCATGACTCACTGCAGCCTCCACTTCCTGGGCTCAAGCGATCCTCCCACCTCAGCCTCCTGAGTAGCTGCGACTACAGGTGTGTGCCACCATGCCTAGCTACTGGTTGTATTTTTTGTAGAGACAGGGTCTCGCCATGTGTCCCAGGTGGATCTCGAACTCCTGGGCTCAAGTGATCCACCTGCCTTGGCCTCCCATAGTGCTGGGATTACAGGTATAAGCCAGCACAGACAGCGCAGAATAGCACCTTCTTAACTAGCTTCTTAGGTAAGCTGCCTAAGGAGTACAGGTAGCCTAGACATGCTTCCTCTAGGCATAACCCACAGCTGGACTGCCACGCCCATCTCAGTTGCGGCACGAGATGACGGCAGCAGCTACCATGTATTTCATGCTTACCACATGCCAAGGACCGCACTTCACATGCTCAGCCCTCACGGTAACCCCGTGACATAGTATGGCTACTCTCCATTTTATAGAAGAGGAAACAGAAGCCGAGACAGGCTAATTAAATGCCTCAAGTCTAGCAGCCTCCAAAGAGTTGAGAAAATTGTACCCGATCAGGACTCGGGGAGCCGCATTCTTCCCCATATACAGCAACTCCGGCCAGCAGGCCATCAGAATCACAATGCAGACACAGCACTAGTTGCCAGCGAGGACTTCTTTGTTTATTTTGTTTTGTTTTTCCTTGATACGGAGTCTTGCTCTGTCGCCCAGGCTGTCCTGCAGTGGTGTGATCTTGGCTCACTGCAATCTCCACCTCCTGGGTTCAAGCAGTTCTCTGCCTCAGCCTCCCAAGTAGCTGGCATTACAGGCGCCTGCCACCACACCCAGCTAATTTTTGTATTTTTAGTGGAGAAGGGGTTTCACCATCTTGGCCAGGCTGGTCTCGACCTCCTGACCTCATGATCCACCCGCCTCGGCCTCCCAAAGTGCTGGGATTACAGGCATGAGCCATGGCACCTGGCCCTCCCCAATCCTCTTTCTTCCACCAAGTCACTTGTGACCCTAGATGAGGTACTCTATGACACAAATTCATCCATGCCACAAATACTCATGGGGCACTGCTTTGCTCCAGAGACCAGTGTGTGCACAAGACATACTGTCCCACCTTCTTTCTCGGCCTCAGCTTCCTACCCACAAAATCATTCAGACCCTTCCAATTAAAAGGCGGTGGTTTAAGACACAGTCCACACGGCCTGGAAAAGAGGGAGCTGGGGTATGTGAAGCCCTCCTCCGGGACACTGATGTGTCACGGGGCCCCAGAATGCAGAAGCGCTCTCAGTAGTTGAGATCTACAGAAAAACATATTAGCAACACCCAGAAAACCGTTTTCCACCTGAAATGTCCAAAGATGAAATGTACAAATCTAGGAAGCAATGTGACGTGCGTTTTGTTCTCATTGGTTTTGGTTTGATTTTTATCCCAGCCAAGAAGAGGGTGGATTAACTGGAGGGAGAGACGGGAAGCAGAGAGAGTTGAGCCTGCTGTCTCCACCAGAGGATGATACACGCCTGAAATAAGACAACAGCAGGGGAAGGCCGGGCGTGGTGGCTCACACCTGTAATCCTGGCACTTTGGAAGGCGAGGCAGGTGGATCACTGGAGGCCAGGAGTTCGAGACCAGCCTGGCCAACATGGTGAAACCCTGTCTCTACTAAAATACAAAATTTAGCTGGGTGTGGTGGCATGCGCCTGTGATCCCAGCACTTTGGGAAGCCGAGGCAGGTGGATCACTTGAGGCCAGGAGTTTGGCCAACATGGCGACACCCTGTCTCAACTAAAAATACAAAAATTAGCTGAGCGTGGTGGTGGGCACCTGTAATCCCAGCTACTCTTGAGGTTGAGGCAGGAGAATCGCTTGAACTCAGGAGGCAGAGGTTGCAGTGAGCCAAGATCATGCCAATGAACTCCTGCCTGGGTAATAGAGTGAGGCCCTGTCTCAGAAAAAATTATTTTTAATAAAAAAGGGAAAAG